CGAAGACGGAGAGAGAAATGGATTAAATCCTCGTTGCGTACGCCAGCGAGAATACTTATCACACCAAAATAGATGCTCCTTTGTTTTAATTATGTTCGGCTTGTTTGAGAACGACATTTGTGATTTTTGAAAGTCCTGACTCGAAAGAATGTATTGCTGGTGAATGATGTGGCTCAAATCAATTTTTCTATGCTATACTGCATAATATTGGGTGTTCTTGAATGTTGGCGTAATCGAGTGATAATTTTTCGCTGTCAGGTTTGAGACTAATATTCAGCTAATATTTAGTTTTTCTGACTGCAAAATTTCTCGCAATGATCGTTTTAAGGATATAGGGGGAAAGCAGAATTTGCGGCCACAAATCCTAAACGGGCTCAACCTAGGTTCGTTGATAGTCGGTGTACAGATCATGGTTAGGAAACCATTCACCTGTGCTGAAATTGGAGCTAGTCAATGGGCACAGGGCAGATTTTATACATTTTTCTGAGGAATCTCTAACGGAGCGATTGAAAAACATTTTTGTTGTCAGCGCGTGACCTAGCATTTTTCATGGCTTTAAAATATTGAAAGCGACCGTGAAATGTACTTTCTGCTCGACATGCGAAAAAGTAAGTGTTGGATAACTTTTGACCCTCAAGAGGAGGGTTAAACATTGGAGTTTGTTTACTGCCTTAGAAAGAATTGGACCTGCTCGGGTTTTTGTAGTAGAATCTATACTGCACTGAGGATTTTACATTGCTATAGAGGCTACAATGTCACAGTGAAATTTCAAAAAGCTAAATTTGGTGAAGAAGGTTATAGTCCTTAAATCGTATAATTTCTATGGAATTCTGTACTGTCAGTGCGTTACATGTAATCTATGCACTTGCCAGTGGCTACTTGCCAGTGCATGTGGGTGGTGATATACGTGTGTAGTTTTGCCTGCGTTAATTAGGTACAGGTGGCAAGCTCTCTATTTCAGCCTGTAGGCTTGGCGTAGGTAATGGAATGATGTTACCTATTATCTGTCTTGCAAATAGTTGTCTGCTCTATACGTACGACTGGGAGTTCCATCTTTAATCTTTAGACAACTTAAACGTACGCGCCATCTCGTCGCAACTATTGTCATAACGAATCCACAACGAACCATTCTCTTTGCAGGAACGGATTCCTGATACCAGTCCCTGTGCATTCCACTGTTTCGGCGGATCACGTATGTGAACAACATTTGCGGACTAACAGGGTTTACTAGAATCCACCACTCACCCAGAGTCACCGCCAGTAGACGTTAGATGAGCGCTGTCGCGCGCGGCCACTTTGTTGTACAATCTCTATGGCAAAACCGCGAATTTCATTTTTTCTTTTACTTATGAAACGGAAAAGGCAATTTTTTGAAGACGGAAATCACTGCTCCCTATGTTACACATCATTAAGTATATATATATAATATAAATATATTATATTTATTATATATATATATATACACACATACATATACGTGCAGTTCAACATCCAGTGGACTAAAACTAAGATGGGGAGTGCCAAATATGATTATGAGAGTGATCAAAATCAAGATTATATCAAGATCAATAGTGTAAATTATAAATATTGAACCTAGTCGCATATATTTTCTTGCATTTTCATGCACATTTTGATTTATACTATAGGCATCAGCAATTGCAGCTGTTTTTTTCTAATCCAGCACATTTCTTTATCTGCGGGGTTCAGAAAGAAGCATCAATATGTAAAATATTATATTGACACCATAAAAATCCACTTTCTAGCTGCAGCTGGTCTCTCAATGAAGAGCGCACTTTTCAAGATGTAGCTCTTGAGTTTGCAAGAAGAGAAATGCAACCCGAATATGCTGAAATGGGATGAGGAGGTAATTTTTTTATTTTTCTGTCTGGGCTTGTCACATGTCTATAACCTGTCATCTATACCTTAGCCTATATTAATATCACCAGAGCATATTTAGGTACACTTTGCATGCCAATACATTGCACATATCACATTGTGTACTGTACATCATCATTGTACAGTGTATATATAAACATTGTACATATCAACTCAGTTTACATTGTTTATTTCTATACGATTTACATACCTTCACAGTGTACACTGTGCATTATCGTTGAACATTATATATATATATATATATATATATATATATATATATTCTAAAGATGTGATCTATCCACTGTTTTTGTAGAAGTTGAGCTGGGTTATAATAAGCTTAGTGTATAATTAATATTTAAGTGCATAATGTTTGGGCACTGAGTGATAACTGAAATCATAGATTTAATATGGAATTGCACATGACACCAGCTCTCGTTACAATTATGGCTCCTATTTGCCATACACTTCATTGTAGTCGCATATTAACTATCTACTATTATATGCACTTATTCGGCCTTTTACTGCGCCTTCCAGGGTGCTGACAAGCTCAAATAGCTTCCGACTACTTTCGCCATTCTCTCGCGTACAACTACTATCAGTGTTTTTGTGATGTGTGTTCGTAAGGAATTAATGTTTCTAATATAGATGTCACTAATGTGATCAACTACTACATAATATTATTCTTGAAAATAAATGAGTTAAATACATGAGTAAAGCCATTGTTATTTCAGGAAACATTTCCAGTAGATGTTCTTAAGACATGCAGCAGAGCTGGCTTTGCAGCAATTTACTGTTAGTGAGGATTATGAGGCATGGGAATGAACAGGACTTGCAGCTTCTAGTCATATTTGAAGCTTTAGAACCTGGAGTGTGTCAGCAACACTGCTTATTCTCTTAACACAAGTATGTCACAATATTTCCCAATATGTCTTTAAAGAGATTGATCCGGATGGTCTGAGTTAATTATTAAAGATGATCATTTTTATCATAATAAAAAAGTCATAATGGTTCTAAAGGAGTGCAATTAGCCAATTGCATTAGCCAAAAAGCTTCATTTACTATGCTATTATGCGTGCAGTTTTGCACTTGACACATTTTTCTCGCCAACTGCAGATGTTGAGTTTCATATTTGGGTAGAGATGAAAATGAAATATAGACTTCACACAACGGTCAAAAGCCTTGTGCCTGTTATATAACATGTACGGGAGAATTTCTGTGGTTTTGCATACTGCGTATGTGTTGCTGATGGCATGGTGGATACATTTACTGGGACTGAGCAGCTGCCGGAGAACAACTGGATGCCAATTTGTGTTCGATGAAAAGCTGCTTTTACTGCCTCACTGAACCTGGTCATGAGTGCTACATGAATAGCTTCCAGTAGAATTCAGGTCTTGCTTTGAAGATGTGCGGGAAACTTAAATGTCATCAGTTTAATCCTAAGTCGTTTTGTAATTGTATAATACTATTATTAATTGTTTTCAATGTCCTTGTGTTCTTTCAGAGCTGTAAAGTATGGTCTTTTGCATTATATATGGGGTGTGAGAAAGCTGTTTTAAAATATGGTGGTTCTGATGAAGTACACAATAAAAGGCTGTTCCGTAATACCTTTTATTTGCAGACTTTGCATTACAATGAGAATCATGTTGATTAGCTCATTATTTGCAGATAATCACAATGCAGTTGCAGAATTTGTTTGCATTATTAAAGGGCAGTGGCGAAGTGATTCTGCTAGCTTGATAACCACAGCAAAGGTTGATGGGGACTTCTATATCCACTGAATGGCTCGAGGAAACAATCTACAATATTTCAAACTACAATTCTCCTACAGGCCACTATTGAGCACCTTCCTTTCAATTTCCACGTTCGTTAGATAATAATCAGCATGTGAGAACCAGTAGTAAATAATCTATGTGGATCATGAAATATAGGTTGACTTGAATCCTTATTGACCTGAACAGGTGTTTATTAGTGAGAGCCGGGAGGGACAGACCTTTACCTGGTCATGGTTAGAACAGGGAGATAAAACGACCAAAAGGCGTATATCCTGTGTCATTGGGTAGAGGCTGGGAAGCTGAGCGCTCTAGTTTTTGGCCAAAAAGAAAGAAAGGTCGAATTTTTTTTTTTTTTATTTAGATCACATGGATAGATGATGGTATCAAGGGAGTACATAATAGAAAAGAGAGTATGACACCCGTTTAACAGCGTTTGGCATAGCGTTAACTGTGTAATATTCTATCAATATTCCGGGTGAAATAAATTATTAACTTTACCTTGTTTTCGAATCTATGATTCTCCTTATTCATATGTGACACCACCAATTTACCTGAAAATCGTATGTGTTCTTCAAAAAAGTTCTTTGAATACGACACGGTTTCACACAGTTTTCATAAACGTTCTCATGTATTCGGCTCATGTTGATATGCGGCGGCAGCACCAGGTTGTAACTACGGGATGCTGGGGGCTGTTGTGGATATTAGATAAGCACAGTAACAGCACTTGTTTCGCTTCATTATCATCAGGAACATGATGGCAACACAGCTAAAATCAGCTGCTAGCTCGCCGTGAGCACACATTTATTTTTAGCAGGCTGGAAACGCTACACGCTGAATACAATTCGATGCCTAATAATCCCCAACAGCCCCCAGCGTTCCGTCATAGACAATAGAACACTAATGCAATAATAAACTTGTGCCGAACACATGCGCTCATTTGGGAAAACTGTGTGAAACCGTGTTGTATTCAAAGAACTTTTTTGAAGAACACATACGATTTTCAGGTAAATTGGTGGTGTCATATGATTAAGGGAGAATCATAGACGAAAACAAGTTAAACTAAAGTTTGAATATATTTATTCACATATTGGTAGAATATTTGCAAGTTGAAAACTATGCAAAACGCTGTTAAAACGGTGTCATACTCTTCTCTATTATGTACTCTTGATGGTTTGTACATTCAGATTGAGTGCATTGTGATGTATGCTTGAAAGCAGATTCAAAGTGAATTTGACAGAATAACAGATAGCCTTTATTGATATGAAAACGTTTTTCAACATATAAATTAAAGTAGAAAACCCTTCTTATTAATTGAAATATTATATGTAGGTTGGCTGGAATTCTCAACCTACACGAACTGTTATGCTCGAAAACTGTCGTGTTCCAATCGGCAACAGGCTCGGCAAAGAGGGTCAAGGATTTGCCATTGCAATGAAGGGCCTCAATGGTGGAAGAATTAATATTGGTACAGCACCCTACTCTGTTTTAAGCATCATCTAACCATCACGAAAGTAGAAAATTACTACTAAGCTAAATATGTATCTTATGTTGGTTTCTATAGGAGGCTGGTATATGTTGATATACAGACTTTTGTTTATTGAATAATATGACACAACTACATATAACTAAATGTGGCACTATCTATTTGCCTAAACTTGTTGCCTTTTTTTGAATGACATTGAAATTTCCTAAAGATAGCTCATGAAACTTCTATTTTAGCATCTTGCTCCCTGGGAGCAGCACAAGCCAGCACAGAATTAGCAATGGAGCATTTGAAAGTTAGAAAGCAATTTGGCAAGCCGCTGGCCGAGTTCCAGGTTAGAAAGAGAAATGAGACAATTTCACCATGTAATACAAGATAACGTTCATCATTGCTTTAAAGAAATTGTTTTTTTGTAATATAATTCAATGTGTACAGTTGTATATAGGTATGATTTAGACCTTACACTTTCCAAAGTTGATAAAAAAGAATGAAGCATCCTTTGTCACTGTTCTGTTTTTATATTGTAGACAGATTATTCTATGCTGTTACACTTCCTAGTATATAGATATAGCAATTGATGGAAATGTTCCATTTAAATAAAATGCTATTATTATTACTTGTTATTTTTTATGACTTCGAAATGATTAATAGAGAGAATAATTACATATATTTTAAGATTGATTCCAAAGATTGACCTCCCAGATTTTCTTATTAACGCAATAACTTCTATTAATCCTGCTTTGACTTTCTGATTTGGGTTTAGTACTTGCAGTTTATGCTAGCGGAGATGGCTACATCACTCGTAGCATCGAGGCTGATGGTGCGTGAAGCTGCAAGGGCACTACAAGAAAATCGTGCTGACCATGTTGCTATCTGCTCCATGGCAAAGTTCTTTGCTACTGATAGTTGCTCAAAGGTAATGCACTGCCAGTTATGTGTATTACGCAGCACAATGATTTCACACTGTGCTAAAGTCTAGGACACACTAGCGATTCTGTACGCTGCCTGGCAGCGTATATGTTCGCTCACGAATTTAGAACGCCGTACGAGTTGCGCATACAGCTGGACACACTGTACGGTGTCAAACCGCTTCCAACGGCTTTCCTAGCTTTCGTTGCTACACTTGATTGGCTGCTAAAAACAATCGCGTTCGAACACGATGATTCATTGCTGGGCACGCTGGTGCAAGCGCATACAAGCGCATGCGCCGTACGCAAGCGATGGAAAACCGTGCGTAAATATTCAACATGCTGAATGCGAGCGATCAGCCGGGCGTATGGGATCGCGTGCGAAATACGCTGCCGTGAGACCGGACACACCGCGCGGACCCGGCACCGTATTTATCGATCGCAAGCGGCCAGCGTAGAAAATCGCACAGTGTGTCCTAGGCTTAAGTGTTATGCAGTGACTACAGATTCATTGATGTATCTAGATTGTCTTAAATAAGTTGTCACTTGTTAGTACCCTCACAAAGCATTTTTTTAGATGACTGCCATATATCTTTGAAGTCAAAGTATGCCAATGTATCCATAGCTTCTACGCTTAACTTGTGGTCATTTCTGGTTCCAGTAAATCGTTGAAACGTTATAATCTCTGCTTTCATTGAATGATAAAGTGTTGGACTGCTTTCATAGAAAATTCTGGAAATAAATAAGCACAATTGTCAGCATAATCAGTGCATTTACATAACATATAAATCAGTGCATATCATGACAGATAAATACGTTGTGTGTTAATTTCAGATAATAAATCAAGCACTGCAGATGCATGGAGGTTATGGCTATCTCAAGGTTTATGCTGTGCAGCAGTACCTGCGCGATACTCGTGTTCATGAAATACTCGAAGGTAATCTAACGTTACTAATTAGTTACGTCCGTGCATCACGATTTATTCTTGCTGTCCCTTAATTGTTTGCTCGTATGATCAAGAGGACATAAACTGTTTAGCAAACAATAATAACAATTGAGACTTTCACTCAAATTATGTAATGTTATTTATGTAGTTATAATAGTATACTATTTTATTAAGAATCAGATATGCCTGCTTGATTCGGCATGCCGCTGTTGAGCTAGATGTGTGTAAAGACATGCCAATCTCTGATTGTTACAGGCATTTTTACACTCGGTAATACCAGTCTTTAGCACGCTACTGATGGTAGTAGCCCATGGCGCCATAATCTATATTTGCTCATGCTACTACTAGGTTAGCATAGGGGAAGGGCCATAGCTATAGCAACACATTACATGTTGTTCTGTCTATCTGTCTTTTCTGTTCTGTATACTGGTAATAGTGATAATGATAAATGACAATACCAAACTACACTCAAACATTTTGCTCTCCAATAAACAAAGAAAACAATATAGCCTAGCTCCCTCAGTATTCATTGCACATAGACTCATCTGGGATCGCATTGTGCTTGCAATTTTCATTTATCCATTTCGTCAAACCGTGATTATTGAGTAACAGGAACACATAAACTTTCCTTTGTCTTTGAACAGTATGAAAGACTGGTATCATGAAGTGTACAAATACGTGTGTTAATCAGACATTGGTGCGCCTTTAAACACTTACCTCGGTTCAGCAATGTGGCAGGGAGGAGTGGTTGGGCTGATTCTGGGTGTGTTTGTTTGGTTGGATCCACAGATCTCGATTCACTGGATCGAACCCTAACCCAAACAAACGCAAACTCACTTTCAATGGTTTGCGTTTCGCTGTGACCTATCACGGGATGGTTCATAACAATGAACAAGCTGTGATTGGCTGAGGCGTACGTGGGCCGCCATATTGGATCCCGTTCGAATCCACCTCGCTAGCAGGGTCGGGTTTGGTGGATCGAGATCCGTGGATCCGACCAAACAAACATGGCCTAACTCTAGCAAGCATTGCTGAATGTTAATAAAGGAGTACATTGTTCAATCTAAATTGTGTAACGTCACGTAATTGGACTAAAAATACGACATGTTTTTATCATTGTTTGCTTTATATAGCGTATGTGGAAGGTCTGGGGTTTAACTCCCGGCCGGGTCATACCAAAGACTTGAAAAATGGTACACACGGCTTCTCTGCTTAGCATTCAGCAAATAGAGATAGAGTGTGGCAAGTTAACTCGCAGTGCTACCAGTGGACTAACCCCCTACTGTAGCATTTACTGTGAAAGCAGCTGCGGGACCTCAGGGTTACTGAAACAGAGATAGGCACCGTCCTATGCGCCATGTAACCATGCGCTATGCGTATGAAGGCGCGGGAAGGATTTAATAATTTAATTTTTATATAGTGTACATGTGCTCTTTGTGAGATGAGTCCAATGCCAGGTAGGAAATAAATGCACATGACAGACAAAAGATGGCAGCACATGTCAATTGCGCATATGGTTAACATAAAAGCCAGGATTTCGAACGTCATTTCCAACCAGTCTCGTGGTGTCTCCACCTTTACGACACATACCGTTATTGCTTAGGAAACAGCAACTGTCTAGAGTAATGACAAAATATCTTGGCCTGATTGGCTGTGGGCAACAAGAATGATCACATGTGAGCTTGCATGTGACGATGTGTCGATATCAGTTTATGTACAGAAGTTCCCACTTATTAATGCTGCCAGGGTCTATGTCTCCCTGGGTACGGTCCGGTATACCAGAACGTACCCTGGTACTATTTAATATGCTGGACCGTACCTCGCCTACTCCACTAGGGAGTCGCCTACGCCTACTCCCTAACCCTAACCCTAACCATATCAGATAGTTACCAGGGTACGTTCCGGCAGTACCCAGGGAGACATAGCTAGACACCCTATCAGCCTTATTAATGTGCAGGCAAAAGAGACATATAACCTGGTGTGTGAGCTGCTTTATTTAAAACATCAATCAAGTTTTTAAAGCAAGTTTTCCTGTTGAAATAGCTAACGGGCAGGGTAATCATAGGGGCCTCTCGAACCTCCCTGTAATCTACTTTTCATTTTTTAACTGTTGTTTTGTTTTTAGCTCATCTGACGTAGTCAGATGCAGCTTGTACAATTGCATGATTGTCCGTCCGTCCGTCCGGCTGTCCGTGCGTCAACAGTTGGGCACAAATCTTAACCGCTCGACGTACGGTCACGATATTCAGGACGTGGGGGGGATCATGGAAAAGACTCGGGATGATCAATTTGGTGGTCAAGGGTCAAAGGTCAAGATGTGTAAACGGAGGGGGAATATTTCCCCCTTAACTTAAGGTACCGGTATAGGAGGAAATACGGAATTGCGGCACAAATCTTAACGGTTCGACCTATGCTCTTAATATTCGGTGTATAGTGTAATGGGCAGGAAACCCATCACCAGTGCGAAATTGGAGGTCACAGGTCAAAGGGCAGTGGGGGAAAGGTCAGATATCAGACATTTTCTGAGGACATGGCCTAATGGACAGAGTGAAAAACTTTTTGTTTCAGCACTGACCTACCATTTTTATCACTTTATTGAAAGGACCATGAAATGTGCTTTCCACTGACGTGCGAAGAGTAAGTGTCTGATAACCTTTTGACCCTCAAGAGGAAGGTTAAACATGGATTTGTTGACTGTTAACAAAGGACTGAACTGTGTTTGATGGTACTTGTGTGATCGTGGAAGACTCACAGTACACTCAAGTTTCACAGTGAAATTCTGCGTGCAAAACTTACTTGAACAACGTTTACGCGCCTTAAATCATATATCAACTTCATTCTTTATAATATGAGATTTTGTACGTTGGGAATACAATGTCAATAGCACTTACGCAAACGTCTGTTTTTGATTATGCCAACTATAAATAGGCCTACCTCGCAGGTGTCTGAGGTGCGTGGCTGATAGCACAGCATGGGCTAAACCATAGTTTGGATTATCTATTCCCTGCACCTAGTCAGTATGCACGCCATCTATCGGAACAGAGTGAGAAGAATGTCCCGGCAGGATAGGTCAAATGTATATTGCGCTCAAAAGTGGGCAGAAAGAATTACTTCTTAACTTCAGTTTAACAAATCTTGAGATAAGTAATTGCAGAAATGAATCATCAAACCTACCAATGAAAATTTGCCAGTTTTTTACTGTCCTTGGCATGGCTCTCTCCGTCGCGTTACAGTAGTGTGCAATGTCGGGATATGGTGGAGCATGCTGGCTGTGGACACTGCAGGCCGATGGTTGACTGTCAGTCAAATGTGTTGATCCTCCCGACATTGAAGAAATCTGGACGTTATACGTGCATCTGCCTTACCTCTGCCGCCATCTTCGTCAAAAGTTTAGACGCCGCGCGGCGAAATCGGAATGTACATTTCAATTCACTGATACAGTAGCGCGCCGCGTGGGTGTTATTTGTTTATAAACAATTTAGTCTGACTGACTCTCTCCTATCTCTCCTCTCGCCCGTCTCTCTCTCTCTCATGCTCTCGTCTCGTCTTCTCTTTCTCTCTCTCGCACCCTCTGTCTCTCTCTCTCTCTTTCTCTCTCTCGCCCCTTCTGTCTCTCTCTCTCGCCCCCTCTGTCTCTCTCTCGCTTCCTCTCTCTCTCGCTCTATCTCTCTGCAATAAAAAAAATGTTTGCTGAAATGATGTGTACGCAACTGCGTATCTGCATATCTGTGCCTAACAAAGGTGTCACTACGCCCGACTTAAATGTTACGTTTATAACCGTAGCACCAGGCCACAGATGAGCCCAGACGCTGTGCGGCTCTTGTTCGTCTAAAAGCGGCGTGCTGCATATTTGTGCTTATCACATCTGTCTTGAAGACACTATTGATACAAGTCTAAACAATAGAGGTATTTTGTGTTTAATGTGTTAAATCGTGCTTAATCGTGTTACATATAGCCAATGATTTTATCTGCTGTGTGGCAATTCTGAAAGCTGAGTACAGTTTTTGTTTCAACCTCATTTTAATTTTTTACCTTTTATTTGTGCAGGTACAAACGAAGTGATGAGGATGTTAATATCCAGGGATCTGCTAAAATAACACTGAAAGGATTGCTGTTTAGTGAGACTTCTTCAGTCTAATTAGATAGTGAAACCGTAGCTACCATCTAAGAATCATGTTGGTACTGGTTATGCGTGCCAAAATATTATTTATGTGAGGTGGGTGCATCATACATAATCTCATCTGAATATTAGCTGATTAGCTGGAAATATTGTGGAAATGTTCTCTAGCAAGACAGTACTGTCACAACGTCTGGTCGTTTACACCTACATGGAGATAATACCCTATGTGTTTGTAAATATATATGTAGAAACCGCATAATGTCGACATGGTTTCTTGTATTTTTTGTTCTACCTCTGGTAAACCATGTTGGATGCAGCACCATAATGCTTTTCACATAAATGCTAACTGCGTGTAATTATAATTAGGGTTAATTTTAAATATAAATATAAGTATAATACAATATAATACAATGCAATACAATACAATACCAAAAAGATGATTGCGCAACATTGTTTTACCACATGCTTAATTACAAAAACTACATTCTAATTTAACAGTAATTGAATTGCGCTATGTTATGTGTCAAACAGAGGTTATGCACTTTACTCTAGCTATAGAAATAAAAAATCATGTGTTTCATGTTTTCAGATAGCGAGAACTAGCGGTGTCTACAAAATTTTGATTTATAGATTACCATTGTCATTTTCATTGGCAACTCCACCATAAAGCTCATTACACTGGTATGTATATTCAAACAGCAATCATGTATAAGAACTTGAGAATCGATATGTGGTTGATCGTAGTTATTAGAAATTATAGAGATACAATCTTTTCATCCGAATTATCTAGTAAATGAGGCTGAATGCATTCATAAATATCTATCAAACTGTAACTTGTACGATCATTAATTAATATTATGATGAAGCATGGTTTTATTTCGCATTCGCATCAGTTGTCTTATAGTTATAATTCTAAAGACGACCAGTTATCGATCAAGATTTAAATACATAAGATTCAGATTAAGAGCAAGGGTAGTGGAGTTAAGGGTTAGGGTAATAACTATTCCCTGTTACCACGGTGTTGTCAATGACGATACCGTCTTGTCCAATAGATGGTCCATGCACTCTCTGCTGGTGCTAGAACACTGGAAACTGTCGTAGAATAGGGTTGTTGCGACCAGTGGAGGCAGCCTGTGCAGAACTACGGTAGATTACATCTCGCTGCTCGTGAGTGAGTCTCAGAGGTTCAAACACGGGTTGAGGTCCTCTATGCCTTGGGCTAGCGTATGGTGGCTTAGCCTGGTATGCGGCTGGTGGTGGTATCTTATAGATGGGCTGTGATTGCACGTATGTAGGCTTCGGTAGTTCGTAGTTGAGGCGTGGCAGGTTGGAAGCTGGGCTCGTCCTGTCTATAGCTCCTACGTCGTATATTACTGGGGTAGCCTGTTTACGTTGTGCTGGTGTCAATGGTGCGCGGAGATGGGAAATGTGTCCCGTTTTGCGTTCACACCTGTGAAATGTGTGTATTGGGCTGGTTAGTTAACGTTTCAGGTGGAATATCTTCATTACATAAACCTCACATTCTTGGTTTATTTTTCTCGTTCTTCGTTTGTTGTAACGTTGTATTGGATGAAATTGCATGGAATGCGTATATTCAGTTCGGAGATGTTCCATGTGCTCTGCGAATTTGCCCGTTTTGCTAAATTCTGTTTGAACTGATTGCATCTCTCATTCAAAGCACAATAAGGTCCATTAATTTTTCAGGTATTTCAAATATTCTCTTTAAAAAATTACTTACTTATTTCCTTCGAATCCATGGTGGCAGGTGCATGCAAACTGTGAGTGGTCGCAGTAACCTCCAACCATGCGGCAGGTGGCATTATTCAAGCAAGGGTTGGGCTCACATGGATTAATGAAAATGTCACACCTGTCCGGTGAAAGTAAGATGAACAGAATTGGAAGAAAGTCAACAATATTGCGCGCTCTACATAGCGCGTGTATGAATATATGCGCGTGCGTATTGAGTTTGGCCAGTAGCTATTTTCAAGTAGTTCTGGGATTCATATATACTCGTCTTTACAATTCCAATGATACTGTGAGTGCTGTTAGTTCAATCGGTTCCTCTTGAAACCGTGCCAGGTTGATAGGGCAGATGCTTGATAATTCAGACCCTTTGATAATTTTCTGATGAAGCCGGAAGGTTTGCATTCTATGGGCAACCGCAGAAACTTGAAAACATAAATCCTTATCAGACCGAATAAAATTGGCATGATTTCTACAAAATAGGCTTGTAATTCCTTTCAGATATAGTTCCGTTGAGCTGCTGGGTCTGGTTCGGCGAATGCAGAGTCTGGCGGTGGACGCCCTGTGGTCAAGATGACATGCGTTTAAACAGAGGAATTGCTCCGACCTGTGATTGGAATAAGGAGGATAAAAATAGACCCCGCCCACTCCCGCCGCATACGCTATTATGCTATGACCGGTAGGAACGTGTACTAACTATCATATGGAGCGAACGATTTGAGTTACATTTCTACAAAAATTCTAGCTGTTATAGACACATGTCAATTAGCCTTAATCACTGTGAATTTTGAGTCTATTGAAGCACGATTAGTCGAATTAATTAGCAAATATGCACGCTCGGTATCGCTCATAGGCTAATACACGCGCGGCTATGACCGGTGAAACGAAACGTCACGAATTCTATTTTTGTCCTCCAATCACAGGTCGGAGAAATTCCTCTGTTTAGACGCATGTTAGATACATTTGGCTCTTTTGTCGCATGTTGTTGGATACTCCTCACGTAAGTGGGTATAATTCCTGGTTTGAACAGGGCAATATCAGGCGTGCTATCGTAGGGCCTACGGCTCCTGATAGTCTACAGGACTCTTATAGGCGGTTCTCCCTGCGCTTACGTGTCGCCAGTGTGTGTGCACGGGCATAAGCACACCGTTTGGTAGTCATGGTCGTAGCCATCTGACTTCCATCTTACTCTACACACGCCTCCGTTATTGCATGGGTTCGGTTCGCATGGCTCGGTGTCCTTGTCGCACCTAGAAACACGAGGCACGGGAGTAAGTGTTCTAGTATGTAGATGGAAGGATTAGACTGTGGGTGCTGTCAGTGAGTGAGCGGCAAGCTTCATATATGTCGCGAGTGCGATCTTCAGCCAGCGTGAGTTAAGAAGTTGATGGTTCTCGTTATACTTGCTGCCAGGCACGTTGCGCCACCTATTGGTTAGATGTGTTCCTTGTCGTTTTTACGGAGGAATACGATAGGGAGCAAGTCGTATAGCACTCTCTGCTATACCAGGGCGTGCTCTAATTGGAAGAAATATAATTGAATTAGGTCAACGGTTATTATACCCGGTAGCTCTATTACTATAGCCCACTTTCATTAACTGCCTGCGGCAGTTAATGAAAGTGGGCTATAGTACTAGAGCTATATACCCGGCAGTTTACTGAGCGTTATAATGCAGGATACGCCACGTCTCACACGTTTCTAGTTTGTTTCACACACAGGGATCTCAGTTCCGGTCCATATACCGTCTAGGATATCTACGATATGGGCCACCATTCTACAAGTATTCGCATACACGAAACATGTAGCGCACTTGCGCGCGTCGGCTATTTCGTGTATAATGGGTGCAAATACTATATGCATTACGTACTTCTGATGAAATCTTAACTCCGATCAGGAATGCATATTTTTCTTAGATACTCTTACTAAACGCTTCGCTCTTATTCTGATAACCGTGGCCGTGTTGTGGCGTGCCGTATACGTACGTGTAACCACCAAATCCGTAAGAGCACTGGCATGTGAATGTAGGTCCAGTTCTTGCGCGCACCCCCGTGCAGATGCCGTTGTTTTGGCAGGGAATGTTTGCGCAGGGGTCCAGTTCACAGCTGCGTTACAAGGCAAATAAAAACCGATGGTGTGTAACCGCGTTGCGCGGTAAAACAGTCGACTGAGACAAACTAACGGTATAAAACCGTTTACCGTTTACCGTATATAACAATTTAACCGTTATAGGTCATCCCATAATTGCATGATAACGTATAATTGTATTTGCTGGTAGTCGCGCGCGTGCCTTATGGGGTGACGAGATTATAAACACAATAAACGCCTTTATTCCATTATAGTGCCCTCGCTAATTGTTTCACAGTTATAACAGAAATCCCCGGTTGAATTATCATAAAATGGGTACCAATAGGTCAATGCGGCAAACAATGCAGCTAGATAAACAAAACAAAACGTGCAGCTTGGGGAGGGCTCCGGGTGGGAGCATTGCGTGAGTCGCCACTCTTCATAGTGACTTCTCCCTGTATTGTGCGATCATCCAGCAGAGTTGAATGGTTTGCATGATGCGCACAGATTTTAGGCAGACCTTTCAGTTTAGAAAATCTAGAAACCTGGGCTGTCGAGAAACGAATATATATATATAGATATATAGATGTATATAATTGCTTACTTGCGCCCGAAGAAGCCGAATGGGCATTCGCAGACATACGCCACCTGGTAGTTTCCCTTCTTGCATATTCCTCCATTTTCGCACGGAGCCGGTTCACACGGATTCAGTTCAGTTTCACACCTACGTAAAGCAGTGAAGATCTGCGTTGCCATCGTTGCTTAGCATCTTTAATTATACATACATATACATACATACGCACGCACGCACGCACGCACGCACGCACGCACGCACGAACGCCCGCACGCCCGCACACGCGCGCGCGCGCACACACAACTCGGTCTGTTCCTGTTGGCGGATGAGCGATATTAGAAGTTTAACAATACATATAATGATATAATATGCCTAGTAAAGCACTGTTTATCTACTTATAAGTAACGGTGGAAAGGTTTTACCTATCACCCGTAACACCGTAAGGGCATTTGCATACGGCATCGTATCCATGTACTACGCAGTAGCCTTCATTTAGACACGGGTTCGGATTGCACGTATCCACCGCCTTTTCACATCGAGAGCCATCAAAACCCTGCAGCGTATAGGTTACTCCTGATGGTATGCAGTAATACGACTACTTATTGATAATACTTATTATCATAGTAATACGGTTAAGGCCCATTTACAATTACACACCGTCTAGTGTGTAATATATATGCACATGTATATACGTCAATAATATCAGACCGTCTCAGGATTAAGTTCTGCCGGTGCTAGTTCAACGCAAACCTGCTAACGGTAAATTACCTGAGGGCAGCTACATGTGTAACCATAGGCGTCTTTCTTGTTGTCGCACGTTCCTCCATTGTAACACGAGTCCGGGTAGCAGTCTCCACGCATCGCTAGATGTATACGACAAACAGCGTTTGACATTTGAGCACTAGGTCCCTAATGAGGATACCTACTTGATTTTTCGTATACGTTTTCCCACACCGTCCACGTCTACGCCAACAAGAAAAACAAAACTGAACGCGTGTAGATGAGAACAATTGAACTGAAATAATGTTGGCTTTATTATAACAAAAATTCTGGGTTATTTGAGATCTCCTTTAAACGGCCAGACAACGCTGGGTATATACATTTGACTTATATGTGATTAATTCTTTCACGCAACGTGTTTATGTTACAGTTAACGGTGTTAATATTTAAGAAATGTTGGTTTAGCACGGGTATCATATAGAATATAGATGCTACTGGGCCCTGCCTAAACATCCACTCACAAAATGCATCGGGTATATAACCCCAGGCGATGGGAAAACATTCAGCCATCCAAGAAAAACATCCGAATGATACCATCGTTTATACATTTGTCTCGACACACATTTTCGTAGCCGCGATTCGTGATCACTCTCACTATCGCCTATTCAAGACGCCTACATTGTGATTTTTTTCTTCTGTCATGCAGGACCTCATTTGTGGAAAAAGCGTTTTCCTCAAGGCTACTCTCGACAATACAATGCCTTCTTCGCTGTTTGCGGTAATTATGGGTTTTGTTATTAGACTCAGCATCGATGCAGTGAATATGGGCAACATACATCAAATGATTTCGGAAAACTACCTCTATAACATGCAGTATTGCGTGGTTGATTCAAAAGAGAATCCGCTATTCATGGAAAGGATGGTATTAATTTTGGTTGGCGTTATGGGGGTGCGACAGAACTGGTTATGTACGCAGTGAGTACGTCCAAGCCAATTGATATGGTAATGCACTGCACATATAATAGAATAGCAGTCACATTCGAAATAAAATATATATCAACATATAGTATATATAATATCATCAGAATATTATAATCATCTTATATATGAAATTGTCTGTTATACATGGTTCTAATCTTTAATCAAATGTAATTTTTAATCGTGCAGCAATTACGTATTTGTAATGCCGTTTAACGCGTTGTACGATGCGGGCGGCTTTGTACGCCTCGCAAATTAGCTGTCATTGAAAATGAAAACAACCGAATATAAAACTACCAGGCGAAGACATAATTATTAAAAACGTTTAAATCTAGAAGGATATATCTCGGACTATAGTTGCTTGTATAATATGACAGTAGTAACGTTAACTTCATTAACGTTTTTATATTATAAGTATATATATATATGGTCAAGGTGATTATGTTTGTGACATTATATCACGAAGAGAATCATCGCGCTTTGCAATGTTCGGTACTTACGGAATACGTACCTCGAAATACGGACCACGGTACACGTTAAATAAATGATTAAAATAGCACTGGATATTTCTTGCAGTCGTAAATGCTTCGCACCGGAACCACATTTTGATGAAAGTGTACGAAGTAATCGCTTAAGGGCTTTAACGCACCGATGTGCATAATGAAGAAGTGACTATATTGCATCATACATTGTTGACAAAGTGTACAATAAATATGTTGTTTTCTGGTTGTTATAAACTCCCGTTGTTATATTTACCTTCACCATAGCTGTCAGCCGCGATCGTAGCCGGTGCGAGCGGTGGCGGCGCCAGGTAGCTTGATGGTACGGCCGTACATAGCACCAAGCAGGCGGAAAGAAGCGGCACGTGAAGCATCATGCGCGTAAACATGCTGAAAGATACGAAGGGTGTTGGACACGGGCGTGCCGTACGAAGTGCAATAGGGCGTGCATGGATTGACAGTTAATAGGTGTATATTAACTAGGGCGCGATACATTTTGCTATTTTATGAAGTGATATGACGCGTACAGTATTTGATGGATAAATGCCATTTCGTGGACGTAACGCCGCAAAACGTCTACATTCTATGACGCCATTTTCGCTCTTGTTTCATTTGGTTGTAACTAACAAGTACGTTATTAGATACAATCACAATTCTATACCTAGAGGGTTTGCACTGACAGACAGACAGGCAGACATACAAAGAAAGAGCGCGACAGTGAGAAAGAAGAGGGAGAGCGAGAAAGAGAGAGAGAGGACGAGAGCTAGTTAGGGAAAGATAAAGAGGGGTGGAGAAAGACAAAGAGCGATGACGGCGTGTGTGGGTATGCGCGCAAAGTAAAAGAAGGAACAAGAGCGCGTCGCAAGAGAGAGAGAGAGAGAGAGAGAGAGTGTGGTGTGTGTGTGGCTGGTTGTGTGTGTGTGGTGTGTGTGTGTGTGTGTGCGTGCGTGCGTGCGTGCGTGCGTGCGTGCGTGCGTGCGTGCGAGTGTGTGGGGGGGGGAGAGGAGAGACAGAGATAGAAGGAATGACAAAGAACGTTTGTATAGTGTATATATTCATATACAGTGTGTCTATGCGCGTGCGGGTTTGCATGAGTGGCTGCGTGCGACCCCGAGACCGAGCGAGCACGCGCGCCCGCACACACTCGCGAGAGCGAGAGCGAGAGCGTATAGTGTATGTGTATGTGTCTGTGTATATTTATACTATATATGTGAGAAGGTGTGTGTGCTGGTGTGCGTGCGCGTGAAATACAACGGAGAAACACAGAGGCGAAGAATTGGGACGAAGAGGCTGAAAGAGCGGGAGTGAGACAACGAGCAAGCGCTCCCAGAAACAGAGATACGACGTGGACATTCGAGATTGACATTCGGAGGGGAAGAAAAGTAGAGAGAGGCGGGGAGCGATCGGGGCGGAGAGAGTGCGAATGGGGAATCGATGGGTAAAGCGTGAGGAATGAGACAAATGAGATAGAGACGAGCAAAGATTGGAGAGAGGAGGGAGAAGGGTAATCGTAATAAATTCCTACCTTGACAGCTGCTACTCAACACTATAGATGTACTAACAGTTGTGGTACGAATTTCCAGAGGGATACACAAGCGAATGAATAGTGTTGTGCGCACTTCGCTACATAGTATTCGAATGAAAGGATTTGGGCTTATCAAGTCATTCGCATTCGCCGTGCCCTACATTTTCAGTACTGTCTCGTCTAGCGTGCTTGGAAAATCGGCGCTATTGTTAGTAACATTAGCCATAAAGCTTCTTTGGGCTTGACAACCTTGGGTTATAATAAATGAAATTGCAATGAGCCTAAACGGGTAGCATACGTCATATTATATAAGTGTAGAGCGTTAATTTAATAATGGGGATATGACAGATATATGCTGACTACATTTCATTGTAATTAAAAAAGTCTTACGTCATTAGTGATTAGATATTATATGGCAACGCACCGTTACATCATTAATGATTAGTATTTCGTTTCGAAACAGCATGTATATCGCTGTTTACAACCCATGCCGCTGATCCTTGACAGTGTGACGCTTGAACTATGGATTACGATGTAAAGCTAAAGTCACACCAAGCTCCCGGACCGGGCCAGACGCTGCCGGACTGATCCGGGGAGAGATCCTTGTTGGGTCCTGGACGGTCCTGGACGGTCCGGCCCGGTCCGGGTGGTCCTTGATGGTCCTGCGCATTCCGGGATATCGCCCCGGAAGTTTTAAACTGTATAAAATTTCCGGGGTGATCCGGGACGGTCCGGGAAGTTTTCCCCATCCGGGGTGGTCCTGGACGGTCCTGGACGGTCCGTGGCGCGTCCGTGGTAGGTCCGGGACAGTCCGTAGTGGCACCGTGTTGAACCGGGCCCACACCGTGTTGAACCGTGGCCATCCGTGTCGTTTTTGCTCGGCCAAACGGATCACTACGGATCAAGTCGCGACCCAACACGGAGTGCGGAGCACGGAGCCGCCAGGACCGAGCCGGATCCCAACGACGGATGGAGCCACGGATGCCAGGGACGGGGCCGACAGGCCGATCAGGTCCGTGGGGTCCGGAGCAGTCATGCGGGCGCGTCCGGCGGTCCCGTAGCTGACTCCGTGGCTTGGGGTCCGAAGCATCAATCCGGGCTCATCAAGCGATGATCAGTGGCCGCTTGCCGCTGCTGGTCCGCCGATCCGGCGCCGATGATGCTTTTTTTCGGACCTCATTCCGTAATCTGGTCCACCAGATCGCCGACGGATTATAAATTTACCGCCGGGGAGATCCTGCCCCATCCCGCCCCTCGGTAATCCGTGGACCAGGCAACGGACCTCCAGTGTGACTGAGCTTTAATAGCTACAGTTAAGATTAGGACCAAAATTCGTTCAAATTGTGACAAAAAGTATGAAAAATTGCGACACTTTGCAACTTTGTATGCTCTTTCATTTAAAAGAGGGACACACGCGATCCAACATGTGATCCAAGGCGCGTCTTTCGGCCACATTGTTGAATTCAAAATGGGCCGCCTGTCATTCTTAAAAGAAGAGCTTATATCCTCGCGTTAATAATCTTCATACAGATCTTGAAATTTATCTGACAGGACGTAATTTGGTGTTTACTATTTCATACAACAACGTGGATGCATCCGTTGATCCAAGGGCGCGATTCAAAATGCCGGCCATAAAAATTACAACTTAGCAACTATTTTCCGCTTCACGGATAAGATATAGAGACGTAGAAAATTTGTCCGACTGGCGCCAGGTTAATACCATTCGCCAAGTCGACACCGTGCCGAATCCAACACGCGTTTGCGAAACGATGGAAAACACGCATTTAAGCTGAGTTCAAACACGCATTTTCAACGTGCCGTGCTTTTCAAGTAAAGCGCGACGTGTACACAAGCAGTTCAAACTCAGCGGGCGGCCGAGCACCGCACGCCACGCACATAACAGATAGCTATACGCCACGAGAACGCACGCCACGGACCACATAACACGATAGGCCCTAATCGCGCCCACGAGCAGGCACGCACATAATCAGAAGCTACGTTATATACTGCGCGCCGAGCCACGCACGCACATAACACCGGGTACCGCGCGTTACCGGCCGCGCGCCGGCGGGGATTCCGGCGCCGGGGCCCGCGGCGGCCGGCCCCCGGCCCGAGGCGCGCGGCGGCCGGTGGCCGCGGGCGGGGCTCGGCGGGCGGCTCCGGTGGTGCTGCCGATACGCCGCGCGACGCACGCACCGCCAGCATGTAACAGTACCTAATACGCGCCTGCGGCTGGGAGAACGGCGCCACGCATGCACGCACATTAACCGTACCTATACGCCGCGAGAACGCACGCACTAACAGATACGATCGCCGCGTGAGCACGCACCGCAGATAACAGGCTATCCTTATAGTACAGCGGCGCGCAGCACGCGACGCCACATAACAGATATCTATACGCCCGTCGAGAACGTCACCGCACGCACATCAACAGATCATGGCTCATATACAGCGCGCGAGCACGCCACCACATAACAGGTACCTATACGCCCGCGAACGCACGCATTCATAACTCAGAAGCTATATACGCGTCGCGGAGCATTCTCACGCAAATAACAGCCTGGTACGTTATCGCCGCTCGAGAACCGCCACGCACATAACAAAAAACTATATACTGCGCCGAGCACGCACGCGACGATAACAGCGTACCTATGACCCCGCGTGAGACAGTGCACGGCACCTCATGACAGATAGCTTATACGCGCGCTAAGCACGCACGCACATAACGAGACTAAGTCTATATACCGCGCGACGAGCACGCATGCACGCCACAACATAACAGATACCATATACGCCCGCGTGAGGAACGCACGCCACATAACCAGCAGCTATAGTACGCGCGCGAGCCGCACGCACCAGACGTACCTATACGCCCCGCGAGAACGCCACGCACATCAACAAGAAGCGATATACGCGCGCGAGGCACGCACGCACATAACAGGTACTTATTAACGCACGCGAGAGACCGCACGCACATAAAAAAAAACAAAAAAGCCCTATATTACAGCCCGCGCAGCACCACGCAGCATAGACCAGTGGATACCGATACGCCCGCCGATTAGAACGCGACGCACGCCACACATAACAGAAGCTATATACGCGCACAGCACGCCACCGCCGATCATAAGCCAGGTACCTATACGCCGCGAGAACGCACGCACATAACAGAAGCTATATACGCGCGCGAGCACGCACGCACATACATAACATAGGTACCTAGTACTGCCGCGCGGAGACGATCGCACGCTAGCGCACGATTACACAAAAGCATATACGCTGTAGCGCAGCACGCACGCGACATAAACAATACCTTATACGCGCGGCGAGAACGCACGCACGCCACATAACAGATAGCTTATATACCACGCGCCGAGCACGCTATGCCACATAACAGTACCTACCTATACGCCGCGAGAACGCACGCACGCACAATAACACGATGCCTATATACCCGCGCGAAGCACGGCACGCGCATAACAGATAGCTATTATACGCGCGCGAGCACGCATGCACGCACATAAAAGATACTATACGTCCCGCGATAACGCGCACGCCAGCATAACAGTACTTATAACTGTCATACAAAGTACATATATTTGGGTTTGTGCACGTACATGTTACCGCACTGTAGTGACAATCTGCCGACAACTTGGGACAATGCAGTTTCGAGACATTTGGGTTTAACTTAAACATATAGCTATTATTTAAGCGGCTTGCCATGCACCTGCTTCTTTGTACTGTATATACAACTTGTTGTCTTGAATTATCTCTCTCTCACACTGGGGAGCCGATTGCCAGTTTGCATGGTTTGTTAATATACTGACGAAAATGGTTATCGACGGTCAACATTTTCGACCATGTTGTTTGTAATCTGTTATACGATGGCATTGATCCCATTTTGCACGTGACCATGAGTAAAAAGTGATGGCGGCCATGTTGTAATTCAATATTGGCCTGCTGTAATTATAATTAGTAACTTGTGTGTCTTTGTTTAATATGACCTGCGCCAGTCGTGCAAATTTTCACAGTACTCTATATCTTGCGTGAACGAAAAAATATGCTAAGTTGTAAGTTTTATGTGGCCATTTATTGGAATCCAAGATGTTGTCAAAAACGGCCTCATTGGATCATCGATGCATTCACGTGTTTTGTAGTGAAATAGTGACTCAAATTACGTCGTCAGTAAATTTCAAGTCTAGCTTACGAAGATTATTAACGCGGAGATATAGCTATTTTTTAAGAAATGACGGCGGGCCATTGTTGAATTCAACAGGTGTGTTGCCGCAAACAACCTCGGATATCAGCAGGTGTGCCTGATACTCATACGTTGTTGTTATGAAATCATACCCAAATTAACGTTTGGTCAGTAAATGTTCCAAGTCTGTAGGAAGTATTATTACCGAGATATAGCTATTTTTAAGGAATGAAACGCGCGGCCATTTTTGAATTCAAGATGGCGCCGCAAAACGCCCTTGATCACATGCATCACGTTGTTGTATAAAGTAGTTAACCGCAATTACGTCTGTCAGTCAATTTTTCAAGGTCTGTACGAAGAATTATTACGAGATAATAGTTATTTTTTAAGAAAATGACGGCGGCCATTTTTAAATTCAAGATGCGGCCGAAAACGCCTGATCACATGCATCACTGTGTTGTATGAAGTAGTTACCCAAAATTACGTCTGTCAGTCAATTTTCCAAGTCTGTACGAAGATTATGTAACCGAGATTATAGCTATTTTTAAGAAATGACGGCGGCCATTTTTGAATCAATGCGTGCGTACCCGAAGTTTGTAGGTGGATCCCGGCGGCTGTGTCTTGCTGTTTAAATGAAAGAGATACAAAAGCGTATGGCAAGTGTACCACATTTTCACACTTTGTTCACAATTGAACGATTTAGACGATATTCGACCGAACCGACTAGTACTATAAAATACACAGGGGGGGTTTATTGTTAATCGACACAACCCCTTCCTTTATACCAGTGCTCCCATTTACGAAGGAACTCATTTTATATTGGAATGGAATAATGGTGGCCTATTTTCGGTTGGTTCCGGCGGGGTAAAGAAAGATAAACGGACCTCAGAACTGTCTGCGTATATATATATAGTATATATATATATATATATATATGTATATATATTAGATAATTTGTGGACGCCGCGCTATGCGACCGAGCGGATTTGATTGTCTCTTATTGGCTTATATTATGATCGCCGTCTTTTTGTTGATCTATTGTACGCTACTGAGAGCGTCTTTATAGAATGCGTTAGTAACTAGTTACGCTTGCATGCGATCCCAACCTAATGGCCAATTTCGCCGATAAATTATTTCACGTGGATAATTATCTGATTAAAATAGCTCGCTTGTTTGGTATCCATTCGAAACATGTCACCATAATAAATGCCATTAGTGGATGGGGGATAATTACGTGTATTTTCAACACGTCATGAAGACGAGTTCATTATATATGCTACCTACGTGAAATATCTATTACGGGCCGCTACTTTCATGCTTTGTGCGTCTATGCAATCAGTAGAATGTCATTAGAGCTGTTAGGCTATCGACTTTCTATTTTAAATGCCACGTGTACATTTTACCAATATATGTAGCAATAAACAACGTGAGGTAAACCGTTACAACAGTACATGCATTTCTATATCTATACAACGAAGTGATCGCTAGATATAACGAGATGATAGTTCGTTCGAAGTCAAAATGTATATGTATATGTATATGTATACTATATAAGGCCAACTAAAATATTTCACTGTACGCTACATTGGATCTCATGTAACGATACAATCAAGTTATTTTTGATGAAAAAATGCAAATAAATGCAAATATCGCAACAACAAATTGATCCGTTTAATCAAACCACACCCGTAATTTAACCTGTAAAAAGTTTACCTACGTTATTATTTCTTGTCAATTTACGTCTTGAAATTTGAATCCGTGTAGGCCTACCCATGGGTTTTTACTTCAGAGAAGCTAGACCTGCTATTTCAAGGCTTAACTTTTATAACTATAAAATATTATACTTTATAAAGCCTGTGATTACATTATGTGAATATGTATGATTCGTCACAAATCTTGCGATAATATAACGGAGTCTACCCAGAAGGAATGCACGAAAACATAAATTCGAGACCAACCTTTCTATTCTTCTCTTCCCTTATAAACCAATTATCTTCACAATGTAGGTTCATTTCAAGGAATCCAATATTGCACTACATTTCACATCATAATTATAGATCTCAATTGATTAAAGATCACGTACTTGCCTACTGTAAAAGCAAATGTTATCGTGTACCTGTGGGGCCCCCTTTTCTATAAAACCAAAAACCACTTATTTGAAAAAAGGTAATAACCAAATTTACCTTCTAAAATGTAATGAAATCCAAATTGATGAGATATTACATTTATATTTGATAAACACGATAAACAAGAGTCGTTGCCATTCTTATTTCGAAATAGACAACTTTGTGTACTCACATATCTTGTGAATATATTCATTTAAATAGAATTTTGAAAAGTTTACAATAAACCTCTATTCGACAATTAAAATTTACTTGCTACAAAATTGGTTAGAACCTATCCACCAACTTTTTTGCTGTATTTTCGGCATAGTAAACTATGTAAATCTTGCCACAGAAACATCTGTTACATTTTTATATAATATGATTATTAATATTTCATATTCTGCTTTCAATTATGTCATCGTAATCTTATTGGCCTTGTGTAATTTTCTCTATTTATGAAGCACACTATAGTCTTAAATTACGTGCAATGTTAAAAGAACGTTTTCATTATTATACTGTACAAGTTGGAAGTGTTGAAAGTTGGAAACAGTGACAGTAATTTTTTTAGCACATGGAATTTGTTGTGAGAAAGTCTGAAAATGTGTAGAACATGCTTTGTAAACGTAAATGTAAACATAAAATCACAGTAAATTTGCAATTTAGAAAACAATAAATTTATTCAATATTATCATCTATTAAATTCACGTTACAAAAGGAAATGGTGGGAGGCCATGATATAGTAGGATTTTCCATGAGCAACTTTCGTTTTCAATTTAATGTATTATGATATTCAAGTAACAAAAGTATATATATATATATATTATATATTATATATATATATTATATTTAATATACTATTATTTATCAAATATATTTATATTTTACTAAAATATTATTGGTTCTTGCCAATGTATCACGCAGTTGCAGCACTGTGTTTAGATTCAGGCACGTATTTGAATGACACGACAATCATACCAATTGTCCCATAAAGTGTATCAATCTATTAAATTCACGTTACAAAGGAAATGGTGGGTAGGCATGAATGTTGAGGAATTTTCCACTGTGCAACTTCGTTTCAAATTTATCATGATATTCGCAAGTAAAAAAGTATACAATATATACTATATATAATATTATATATAATATAGTTATATAAGTAAGTCACGCACGAACACAACGTGTAGATGAAACAAAGTCAAGGTATAGAATAAGGGTGTTTAAAGTTTATATTAATTGACAAGCTGAACTGATGAAGAGATCTCGAAAGCTTGTCAATTAAACTTTAAACACCCTTATTCTATACCTTGACTTTGTTTTTATATATATATATATATATATGTGTGTGTGTGTGTGTGTGTGTGTGTGTGTGTGTGTGTGTGTGTGTGTGTGTGTAATATATATATATATGTGTAATATATATCAAATATATTATTGTACTAAAAATATTTGTGTTTCTTGCCCAATGTATCACGAGTTGCAGCACTGCGATAAAATTCAGCACGTATTTGAAACTACACACAATGCATACCAAATTGCCCATAAAGTGTAAACACCAGTTACTAATGAAAGGTCCCTTACACCTTACAAACGCAATCGAGACACGTGAGGAAAAAGTAGAAAGGTACAATAGGTGATGTGGCAATTGGGAGCTAGAGTTAGTTGGTGTAGATGAACTAGATAAGGGTGGAGTAACTAGGAGTCAGTGAGGTGCCAGAAGACATGGAAAAAGGTGACTGAAGGGGTAAATCAGAAGAAGGGACAATGACAGAGATGGTAGAAACGGGAGGGAATGATGGTAGATAGGGAACAGGAATTCCTCCCACCTTTGTACTCAACTCTCTTTCCTCCATGCCAGCCATACAGTTGTTTATTACTGATAAGCCTCATTGAAGTGAAGTTCCTTAGTGGAGAAGAACTACATACACTATTCAGTTGACGATAATTTCAACTAATGTCAGTGATTCACACAGTTACACATTTATCAGCTGTCCAAGCTGACATAACAATAACAAGACAAACGTTACGGGAATGAAAATTCCAAATAAAAATGAAGATTTAACTGGGATCCGAAACATTTTTGCCTGCAGTTTCAGTGTTGATAGGAACAAGAGTAAAGAGTCCAGATCCTGGGCGTTTGTGTCCTGATATCCAAACGGCCTCGCCCTGATTGCATGGCCAAGTTTGCTAAGCGAGGAACAAGCTGCAGAGACCCTACCCCCCTGTACGAGTGGGAGCAGAAAAATAACCACCCAGAGAAAACATGATGTCACTGTACACACGTAGGTGACCCACCCATATGGAACGGTGTCGCGTGACACCAGCGCCACTACACACAGAGTCATGTAGCAGCCAAAGTTATACAAAATTAGTGCAACAGTCGTTGCAGACTGGTTATTGAGTGTCTTCAAAAGCGCATGCGACTCCTGAACCTCCTTAAAAACCTCCAGCAGCGAGATGGACCGCTCAAACACGCGTTCGCCCAACCCTCGGATGCAGTAAATGAGCAGCTGACATTGAACGGCATAACCGATGACGACTGCCACGTAAACAAGATGCACGGCAGCGACGGAAAGGACGAGGACGACAATGAGCATTGCCGACGCCGTGGCGCCAGCCGGCTCTAGCCATGGCTCCCACTCAATGCCCCCGCCCGCTAGCATGCGCAGCACAAGGTTTCCTGTGGAGGTGAGCAGCCAGAGGAAGGCGAGCACGAGCAGCAGGCGCAACGTCTTGATGAGCCCCCTCTGAGAGAGGTAGCCGGAATGTGTGTATGGTGATGCCTGCAAGAAGACGCGCTCCATGAGCGTGAGCACAAACTCAGAGTTACCGTACCGTGTCGCGTAGAACGCGTGGCAGTAGGAAAACAGGTGCAGCATGTCGGGAACGACAAACAGGCTGTAGATGTTGCGCTGACAGTGCTGCCGCACATCCTCAAGCACTGGCTGCGGCGGCCCCTCAAACACCGGGTCAGATGGCGTCTCTGGTACATGCGAGTCATTCACAATGCGTTTGTCGCCCTCGACTCTGTCCGTGCGCAGACAAGCGGCAAACTGGAGCACGTAGCCAAGCAGAATAATTCCGAGCACAACCAGTGGGTATACCACATTCGCCACTCTGCAGCAGTAGGAAGAGAAGCGGGACTGGCGCTCCTCGGGTAGAGGGCGCCAGCCTAGCACGCACATGAGACGCATGTACGGGGTGAGCACCGTCTTCTTGCAGAAACTCAGCGCAACACTGGTTGGATTGCACTGCACCTCTGCGATGTGTTCTTCTCCCGAGATCTCGACAGTTGAAAAGTCTACCTCTGTCGGGTCCTCAGTCCCTGTGGCCTCCATATCAGAAGTCATGTCCACGTTGTGATGGGAAGCCTGCAAGTCAGTATAGCCAACACTTCCAGGCACTCTCCGGCAGGAGATATGGTTATTGCCAGAGGCAGAAGGGCAGGTGCCATGGATTTTATCGCTGACAATCAATGACTCATCGTCCTGTAAGAAAGAGGTCAAATATATTTTACAATGTCTACGAATATGACATCATTTCATATTAACTTGTAAGTTGTGAAAATTCTAGTCCATTTTACCTCACAAAATGCCACAAATGTATGTAAAAATTAAACACGCAGATGGCACAGTGCTGCCTATGTACATGTAGGACGTTACCATTAAAAACACAAGGTACGCAGTCCAGAAAGCTTTGTTACAATTTGTGAGTGCAACTGACCATAAACTGCTTCATTTTCATAGCTAATCTTGGCTAGTTTATTCCCATGCCCAGCTTTTGCTGCTAACTCAAATAAGTACATATATCACATCTGGGTGTAACCAAAATGCAATGGTTATAACATAGATTTAGGGAGCTTTGCACTCAATGCCACTCATACTATGTTAAATCAAGTAGAAATCCGCATGTGTGCTGTACAGCTAGGATTTGGTACAAGGTATACACAAGTAACACAACCCTCGAATATAACAACATCAAGAAAAATGCATATATATATATATATATATATATATATGTGTGTGTGTGTGTGTGTGTGTGTGTAAATCTGCTGTCATGTCAGTGGCTTCGGCTAAGGGTATTTCAAGTACACAACCTGGCTTAGGCATGGTCTTGCAGTGCTCGAAATAAGCGTTGTCCGGTTGTCCGAGACAACCAGAATTTGCGCCGGACAACCTAACCAGTCTGAGACATTGTCGGGTGGACAACCAAGTAAAAAAGGTGACGAAAAACGCACTTTATTTATGTTTTTCTCAGGGGTTCTCCAAGAGCACTTATAGCCTGGCGGCCCGCCATTAATCTATGGTGTGGGAAAGCGACGCAATACCAGCTGCTATTTCCAACACTGGTATATGTCAGGTTTTCTGATTTATGAGAGGTGAAGTCGATTTGGAACCAGCAAACCAGCAAGTTCACCCCTACATTTTGGTATTTTTATTTAATTATTATTTTGAATTTTCCGATGGCTTTGCCCATGCAAAACAAACAACAGTGGGGATTCATGTTGATCCGAAAGTTTGAAAAAAAGAGAATTGTCGTAGTCAGAATGAAGGCTGTACATGTACTCAATAGTGCCGCAAATACCATCTCCTGCCATCTACATTTTCAAAATGTGGGGGAGAACCCCCATACCCCCCGCTTGTTTTCACCCCCCTCCTTGGAATCCTAGATCTGCCACTGAACAATTACATATCTTGGGAGCAGAGAACAATGAACAAAAATGTCGCCTTTTCGCATAGCACCCAAAACAAAGATTGCAGAGAAGGTAGAGGAGCCGTAGAGTGTGGAGAGGGAGGTGGAGGAGCCATTAAAATATTAAGTCATCCACTATTTTGCGCAGTTTGCTGTTTTTGGCCCCCCTTGTTAAAAAATCCTGGCTACACCACTGTTTTTGGGTGTTTTCTGACCATATTATTATGTGATTAAAAATAGGAGATTTGGGGATATTTTTTTGGGACAACCAGAAATTGTTGCGGACAACCCGATTTAATGCCTGGGTTGTCCGCAGGACAACCACATTTTTTTCCTTATTTCGAGCACTGTCTTGGGTACATACTACATAGTCATAAATACATAACCCATTATACTTGGGTTTATACATGTATGCATTCATAAAGAAACATTTCTATGAAGACTTTCATGATTTCCATAGATCTGTGATTAAATAACTTCATCGGATCTCTATAATTTACATGCTAATAACGTTAATCTCAGTTAGATCCATAATCAAACTGATCTAACTGAGATCCATAGATCTGGTTTTGTAAATAAAAGTGCATGAAATTGTAGCAGTTATCCGTTGTTGTACTATAGTAACGCTGCAGTTGCTGATTTTTCAAAAGCGATTTCTCAGAATGCACAAGTCCGATTCCAAAACTTTTGGTTCCGTTTTGATGCTAACAGATTAATGGAGTAAACGGTCCCTCTCTTCAGTCTTATAATACAAGTTGTACAGATTAGTCTTGTCTTTTGAATAAATGCACTAGAGCTGTATAAAAACCAATCTATCGACTTTCTACATCTATACAGGGCTTTAAAAACACTATCTCCAGCCCATAATAAAAATATTGTTTGTTTGCCCTCATCCGACCGGCCGCCAAAAAGGGGCAGACTCAAAAACAATTTTATTGATCTTTCCTAGTGTTGTCAATTGGTTGTAATTTCGTAATCGATCATCGGTTGGACCCAAGTAACCGATGATCGGTTACAATCGGTTACTCGGGGTGTTGAATGCCTGCGTGTGCGTAACGTCGTGCGCATGTACGTGTGTGCATGTATGTGCTTGTTTAGCCCTGTTTACTGTTTGTTTTGCACTGTTTACTACTGTGTGTATAATACACGTATGTGAATAAACTTTCACTTGCATAGTAGCGCTGATATCTTTGATTGCCCTCACTCTTCCAAGTTTTTTTTTT